TGGCAGCAGTAGTTGTTGATGTTTATTTTTCCTCACTTCAGCAGAACAGTGTTTGTTAATAATTCTAATAATAAAACATCCACAACAATTGCCAGATTTGCCAACTTTTTAAAAAATTGTGGCTAAACCAAATATTCAAACCCAGGAATTTCTTGTGGGTTTTGGGGTGTTTTTTTGCCCCCTAAGCATAGAAAACCTGCTGTAATGGGATGGATCCTGCTGGGAGCCCCTCTGCGGGTGACTTCGTCCTGGCCAGGAGAAGATCTCAAACACACCTTAGACACAACTTGCACTGTGAGCTGCAATGATGATTGCAAATACACCAATACATAAAAAAAAAAGCAAAACCCTGCTAGAAGTGGCTCACAGATGGAAAAATTTGTTATTGTTTTCATGATCTTTCGCAATGTGTTTGCAGGTTTCCACAGCCTTGTTTAAATTCAAGCAAGGACCTTTTTGCACCAACTTTGCAGGATTTCATTTGTGAGTTGTACATTTAATTCTCCGCAGCAGATGGTGGTGTGTGGGTGTACTGCTGTATATTTGCAACAGATTCCTTATCCTACAAAACTAATTGTTTCATGTGCCGATTTAAGAATCAGAATTGTATTGTTTGTACAAAGCTAATCCCTGCCTATCATTTTGCTGGGACCCGTGCAATTCCAACAAAGTGTAAGGGAAGAAAAGCCTTCAGTGCTGCTTTAAAGCAAATGGATCGTGGCAGCTCTAGTCAGTCCTGACACGCAGACTGAAGAGCTAATGATCGTGTGTGTTTAAAAGTCACTTAAGTAAAATTAACTATTTTGGGCCTCAGTGTCAGGTTCCCCAGATGTTGCCATCAAAAAGGGTGCTGCTGTGCTCCGTGACACACAGCACAGACAAGGCCTCCAAATTAGGCCCCTTTTCCTTTGGTGGGTTTCTTTCCTTATCAGGGATTTCCTTTCCAATTATTGCTCTTTCAATGGCATTATGTTCATTCAGGAAGTTTAAGGGATTTATATCTTTGTTTTCTCCTAATGTGATAAAGGTCTGGTGTCTCTGTTAAGCTGCCACTGGGGGCTTGCCCCCATCCCTTGTCCATGCTGCTGTCCCAGGCTGCACACCTGGGTCTTGGAGGAGAAAGAGGAAACACGAAGCTAAGCAGAGGATTTCAGTGGAGGTCAGGCACTTCCAGACCCATGTAACTGAGCATTCCATCAGCCTCATGTGGCACAGAAGCTAGGGCTTTGTCTAGGACAGGGTCCACACTGGTGTCCTTGGAAAGGGGGGGAACCCAGGGCCTTAATGGTAAGCAGGTGGTCAGGATGGGTAAAAACAGGCAGAGATGGTTATTCACCTGTTCCATCTTCCTTAGTGATGGCCACTGGGCCAGCGTTTATCAGAAAAGGAATTTTCTGTGTTTTTGAGAAAAGGATTGATGCACCACCTGGGCCAGGTAAGACAATGGCCTGGATAGAGGGTCCCCAGTGTGCTTCCCTGTGCCATTGCGACATTAACAACTAAATAAACCCCATCCCTCTTGCCCTTCAGATGCTGGAGCGAAGCTGGGCAAGGCAGGATTACCCCAGAGTCCCCAGGGCTGGCTATGAGCTGTTCCAGCTACTCCGGCACCGGACAAATGGGGCTGGAGGCTGCCACCTGAAGCGGGTGCACATGGTAGCATCAGGAATGTTGAAGCTGGTGACTGAAGTGTTTGCGGACAAGCCACCTAGTTTGGTGCCAAAGCCCTCCTACCCATCCCAAAGCAACGTGCTATTGTTTGGTGCTAATGTGAGGTGTCCCTACCCATGGCAGGGGGTTGGAATTGGATGATCTTAAGGTCCTTTCCAAACTCCAACCATTCTATGTTCCATTATCACATTGGTTGCTTTGTACTGGGGTGGGCTGTGGGGGGAATATGAACCAGCCTTGGGTTGTAAGTAGCAGTAGTTGCAATCACTGGCAGCTCCAACCCCACTGATTTAAGACCGGGTATTTATTGTGGAATAGAAGTTTTAGGATTTTGTTTTCTGCTACTGCAGAAGAAACCATTTGCAACCCTGTAATATTTGAAATCTGAATGAAACTCAACATGTTTTAAGTCCCTTAAAATATGCTGGATTGTTGTTTACAAATAGCAGTGATACCTTAGGGGTGTGGTAGACAGGACTTCAAACATTGTCTGAAAAGCAGCTGTTTTGTGTGTGTATATATCCGTGTTCCCATCTTCCCTGTTATTCCTACTGAGTATCATAGAAAGACCCAGACTGATCTCATGTCTTCAGTAGTGTGTGAGTCAAATCAGTTTTCTGTTTGACCCATCCTTTTGGTTGCTTTCCTTCCTACAGCCTGTTCTAATGCTGCTCTCTGGTAGGTTTACTGGGAACAGGCTTCTTGAAACCTGGGTTTCAGGTTTATGGGAAACCATTTAAACTCAGTGACTCTTTCACAGAGTAAGTTTCTGTTCTCCTGATCCCCCTGGCATTGCAATGCACTTGACCCCATTTGAATTTCTCCAGCACACCACCATGGCATGCAGTGTTTCTGGGAAAGGCCTCAAATGCGCTGTTGCACAAGCATACGTGATCTCCTGGGTATGGAAGGTACCACTCCAATGAAGCTGATTTCCTTAGCACGGGGCTGTACTGCAGCAATGCCCTGGATTGGCAGCCAATGGGGTACATGTATGGGTGCATCTTTGTGTGTGATTTTGCTTTTTGTGTCCTTCCTGCAGAGGTTCCCGTTGGTCCCCAAGTGATTTGCCCCCTTATGAGTTACTGACGCTCAGCTGGATTGGCTCCGTCACATCTTCTGGGTTTAAGAAGTCAGTTATTTTTAGAAGAGATATGGATTAGCTGGAGATGTCAGAGCTTTCGTAGTTATGCTGGATTTGATCTCCTTTCATTTTGCTCTGTATGCACAATGAATTACTTCTGTGCAGTGAGCTCAGTCTGCAACATCTCCAGGGCAGGGAGAAAATCTTTTGTGTCATCATGTGCTGACCTGGCTTTACCTCATCTGTCTGTGGTCATGTAAGTGAGACGTGTAAGTTAACAGCCACCCTTGGCTCCTGTTGATGGAGAAAGGGGTTCCACATGTGCTTCTCCCTATTAACTATCCTTAGGCAAATTCAAGTAACAAGGCAGCAGCCTCTGCTAGGTGCAGGGCATCCAAGCCCCCCTGCCCAACCCTCCCAATGGCAACCACCAATGGTGCTGGTGTATTTATGTCCATTTAGTTGTGACAAATTCAGCATCATTAGCCAAAGTGACTTCCCACAGTAAGGATTAAAGAGCAGCTCACTGTGATCTCAACTATTGCTAGCCCTTGTTTTCAACGCACCCTCCCCTGTCTGTTCATTCAAGGCCCAGTACCGTGCCCAAGGTAGGCTGAAGTGGAATGCGAAGTGAATGCACTTGAAACACCCTCCCCCAGGTGATTTTCCATTTATGCAGCAGGCTTGCTAATTGCAGAAAGAGTGATTACCCTTTCAGGAAAGAAATATAAAACTTGATTACTCTGAATGAGTGTTAGTGAAATTTGGTTCTGATCCCAGCTGGGCAGAAATTGTGTTCCAATAAGGCTTTCTAAAAACACTCACATAGCATCAGCATAGCAAACCCACGTGTGACTGATTTTATCCAGCGCACATTTGTGATACCCTTGGATAGGGGGAACTGAACTTTACCTACCAGGTCCTTAAAACTGTCAGAGTCCTTTCTCTTGTGTATGTGAGTTTTGATACAGCTCACGTGAGTACCTTACATGAATGAGATGGAGGAGGGCAGTAACCAACCGGTGGGGAAATAATCTGTATCCAAACTGGCCTGAAGTCAACAGCAAAATGCCTGCATGCAGTGTCACATTTCTGTCTTAAGAGAACCTAGAATATATGGTGAATTTTGTGTCAGTGCTTTTCTGATGGTGTAAGGTACACAGAAGAAAGGACAGGAAAATAGTAGGCGATGAACCTGACAAACGCTATAACATAGATAGTGTTATAGCAAACACTAGTTAGTTACTATGGGTCTGTCTTAAACGTCAAGTGCCGCCTTTCTAAAATGGGCTGGTGCATATTACATTATGTATATATGTATATCATCAAAAATGGTGTATATACATATGTATAGATAGATGGAAGGATGACATTTTTCAGAGCCAAGTCTTTATAAATAGTGCAAATTGAGAACTTTTGCATTTTAGTGGGGCACGGTCTGGTTGATTTAAGGATGAATTAAGCAAGCTGTGCATTTAAGAACAAACTCATGCTGTGGCCTGAAATTAATTATTATAACCAACATGGGAACTTAATCTCACAAAAACACGAGTTTATTAATAGGTGATGGAGCTGAGGAACCACACGGTCCATCCAGCCCTCTGATATAGTTTTCCTAATCTCAGTTACGAAATTCAACGCTGCAGTTTTACAAGTTACACATTCTCAATTAGTGGATGTTACAGAACAGAAACATGAAGTGAATATTTGTATTAATGGGATTCAAACAAGTCAACTGAAAGAAGCATCAACTCTTGTTATAACACATGGCGAAAAGAATTCAAATGTGGAATGTGATCATATATTGTTGTACAGTAGGTATGTACACTGTTTCATACTGCATGACATTTGTTGCATATTCATATAAAAGTCAAACTAAATGATGGTTTAAAACCTGTATTAACGCCGAAATTTGCTTGCTGCTTTTGTTAAGTGTTGAATATTGACTGAGTTAATATTTTCATTGTGTAAAAATACTGTATATAGTAGAAACCCTTCAATATCTTCCACATTCAAATAAATGAAGTTACAGTTTGGTATTTGGAGTTCAACATCTTAAATTAAATGACCAATTCTTTCTAACCTCGAGAAGGAAAAACAAACAACGAATATGCTCTGTCTGGTTTGACGAGCACGTTTCTTGAAGACCTTGCTTCTGAAATCAAGACTCTAGCATCTACCTCAACTGAGGTGCGCTGGGATTACTAAAACATCTGAACACGGTTAAAAAGGTGGAAAGTCCATAGCCATTCTACACACTTTCATTTATTGTCTGGACAATTAAAGTACAAATAATTCAAACACAACAAGGTTATGAAAAAAACATTTACAATACTTTCCCTCAGAAATGATCTAAACTAGCAAGGTTAACATGAAGTCATTCATTATAACTAAAGTATACAACTGCCTGGTCCTAAGAAAGATTTTTTAAATTATTATTATTATTCAGATAGTAAAACACATCGTAGAGAAAAGATTCTGACATGCCTTCCCCACTAATGCTTAGCAAATGCATCAAAACTTTCCCAGCAAACTGCGCTCATTCATAGCAGATGATGTATAAAGGTTTCCCTGAACATTGAATGAGTGTTCCTTTAAACTAAAATCTAACATTGTTAAAGTAAAAAACTGATAAAATTATGATGCAGCCTTTGCTTTAGTTATTTGTCTACTACAAAAGTTTGCCTCTTCAGTGTGAAAAAACAATACTTAGTCTACATGCAGTTAGTGGGTATAGCATGGAAAAAATGCACAAAATAAGCACAAGTTATAAATAACCATAACGTTTTATTACCATTAAGACTAAACTTGTATTGAAAAGATTTTATATAACAAGACAAGAAAAGCAATAGCAAATTTAACTATCAACTAGATTATGCATAGCGAGTAACTGTTTCTAGTACTCAGGGAAGAGCATGACCCTTTTTTGTTTTAAATATATAACCGTACAAAGCACAAACATACTAAAATGATCAGTGCACTGGACATGGGAGAGCACCCCCTCAGTCATTTTGTTCCCTTAGCTCTGTTTTCCCCAATCTGAATTACATTAAAATAAAGACCCAGTTGTTTTCTTTTCTACTGTGCAGTAAGAAAAAATATTCACAACAAACATGACAATATATCAAACAATATTTCTACACAAGTTACCTTGATACCTCTGTCACTTAAGTATCATAAGAAAACATTTTAAGACATATACAAACAAAACTAGCAAAGTGTTACAACTTATAATAAATTAACCAAAAGAAAAAATAACTTTATATATATATATATTTATATTATATATACACATACACACACAACAAAATGACACAATAATATGCTTCTTCCCATAGTTTAAGTAAACAAATAAGTAGACTAGCCAAACTAGCTATATTTGATTTTGGCCATATGCATCACATCGGCAATTAAATAAATAAGTGTTTCAAGCAACATAAACAGTGTTCCAAATGTGCCAACACAGCCCAATTATATTAGCTTGGGCTATAAAGTGAATTTGAAAATTCTTAACAAATTTAAAGCAAATGTATTTTTTTCTAAACACATTACATTTAACTATGATACTAAGATATGTAAATAATTTTGTAGCACCTACTGCTCAAACCAAGGAAGTTTTTGATCAAAAAATTAATTTTTTTAACTTTTGTTCTGCTGATATCCCATACTGATGACTTAAAGAAAAACCGTCTTGCAACTCATCTCCTTGCTTTTGGGTTTTGACTGTGGGTAACTGCGTGCCTGGGAAGAACACTCTCCCGTACTGTATTTAATATTTTTATTACATGCTATGAAAAGATACGAAGATCATCTGTTTGTAGCCCATCCTTCAAAAAACAATCTACTAATCCAGTTTAAAACACACATCTTGATCTCTAAAAAGTTACCAGTGCAGTATGAACATGACAAAGTTGTCAATTTCCCCTAAATTAGCCAGTCAAAATATTTTTTTCTCAAATCCAGATTCTCTTGTAAAAATTCTTTATATTTTATAAAAATAGATTTTTCTTGAAACCCATTTTCAGCAAAGAGACCACCTCTTTGGCAACATTGTTAATGTTATTTAAATTGTTATGTCATCAGGTATCCCCCTTTACCCCATTCCCTAACAGAAGACTGTTTAGTTCACATGATACAAAAGAAAAAAGGAAAAATAAAAAAAGTTGCAAAATTATGTTTTTTTTGCAATTTTTATTGTTCCTCTTTAATTTGTGTGGGGGGTTTACCAATCTGATTCAATCGATGTTGTTTCCTTTTTTTTGTTTTGAAAAGAAGAAAAGAAAAGAAAAATCTTTTGTTCTCGCTTTTTAATCCCATTAGTTCGTAAAAACTGTTTTTGTTTTCTTATTTTTTTCAAATGAGTGAATGGTCATCTTAAAAAGACCCACCTTCAAGGAAGGTAGTAAAACTAGCTGGCCGGGTAAAAATCCCTGCACATTGTTATCTATGTATATTATATTCAACAACGACAGCTATGAAAGAACATTCAATGCATCAAAGGTTTTTTTTGTTTTTTTTTTTTTTTTTTCTTTTTTTCTAAGCATTATAAAATCCTTTCCTGTTCCTCACAGGATATCCAATGTTTTAATACTTAGGCAACACTGGCTTATAAAGTCCATGGTTGAATATAAGCCTTGAAGAGTTTTTATTTTTTTTTGTTTTGTTTTGTTCGTATATATATTTATATATATATATTTTAGTAAGTAAGGATATGAAATTCAGGATTTGTGGGTTTTATTGGTTTTAAAGGAAACTTGCAATACTCTGTCTCCTAAACGGTATCCATTAAGGCTGGCAATCGCCATGGCAGCTTCGTCGTAGTTGGTCATGGTGACAAAGCCAAATCCCTTGCACTTGTTGGTGTTGAAATCACGGATCACCTTCACGTTATTGACTGCTCCAAAGGGACCAAACAACTGCCACAGCACGCTCTCGTCGGAGTCGGGAGACAAGTTGTAGACAAAGATACACCATCCAGTCCCAGTGTGACCAGGGATATTCATTCCGACAAGGCTCGTCATGCCATCAATTGTGATCGGAGAAAACCTACCAAGTAAAAAGATGGGTCTATTCTAAATATATCTCTTGGCACAAGCTACATGGAACCAAGACTCTAAAGTAAGTAAGCCAATGGTAATGAAAGTTCTTGATCCTATCCCTGGAAGATGACTACACTGCTACCTTTGGTCTCTACCTAAGTGGAGGGGGGCTTTACCAGACCAAATCTGGGCAACAATGAGTCTCCCTTCAAGGATAAGCCCTCCTTCGATGTATACTAAGATCTAATGAAAGAAATGCTTAAGGACAATCTAAGCCCAAAAGGGCCTGCGAATGCTGCTATAAACACAAGTTCATTTAAGGAAGCCTGTAGGAATTTGCTACCTATTCCCACCACTAAAATAATGCAGTTTCTGGGAAATGGAGATCCTAAACTTTTCCTCTTACTAGCTGGTAGTGAAAAAAAAACCCTAACAAATTTAGGACTTTAAAAGATTAATATGAAATGCCATTGCCAGGATTCAGCTGTAACAGTGGCCTCTCTAGCTAAAAATACTAAATACCAGATTTAGAGAGATGTCTAGCTGGTAGATTTTAATTCCCCTCCTAACATAGTCCGTAACTGACATACACAGGGAAAAGAAATCCAGGTAATAAAGAAGACTTAAAGCTGGCCACATATTCAAGGAGATTTATGCAGCAATTGTAGGCTAAGTAAAACAGTACATAAATATAATTAATGAGCATGTCAACTAATACCTTCATACTGTGAGACTTGATCTCCATGACAGGCTCTTAGGTTCTTCAGGTGGTCAATGCAGAGACAAGCTCCTAGAAATCTAATACAGAACCCTAACTTTTCTCTCCTCGTCGTCTTTTGGGACCAGTTTCCTCTAGCTTGAGCATCTGAACTGGGAAGCTAAAGCCAAGTAGCATGTTTATGAACACAGAACCACCACACAGTAACACAGGCTGGGCAGGATCTGTGGAGCTCATCTGATCAACCTCCGGCTCAAAGCGAGGATGACTTCTCAATTTACATCAGATGCTCATGGCCTTGCAGAGGGGAGTTCTGAAAGTCTTCAAGGATGGGAACTCCACTCCTGCAGCCCCTGCTCCCCTGCTACCTCTTGTCCTTTTGCCGTTGAGCTCCAAGAAGAGATCAGCTTCATCTTTCTAGTGCCCCTTGTAGGTAGCTAAGGACAGCAGCCAAGGGCTCAACTCTCCATTTGCCTTTCCTGAATTTCACCATGTTCCTCCAGCTTGTCAAGGTCTCCACGGTGGCACCCGTGGCCAAGAGCACAGTGACTGCCACTGTTCCCTCACCAATTTCGTGTCACCAGCTAATGCAAGGAGGGCGCGTTGCAGCCCGTGACTCAGGTTATTAATGAAGATGTTAAGCGGTATCAGCCCTCAGGATCAACATAATTTTCCTTTCATCAGTTTAAAAAAAAAAAAAGTGACATGCTTTCTGAAGCTGCACTTTGGGATAGGTTTTAAAATAACAACTGCACAGAGGAAACGTCTTAACAAAAAAAAAATCCAGTTTCCCATGTACCTTCAATATGATGAGTTTTAATACCAGAACTGAATAATAATTCCTCAGGAGTTTGAGTGATGACTGAGGGAGTGGAGGGGGGGAACTCAGCGTTGCTGAGTAAGCTCTTGCACTCTCCAAAACTTATGCTTTTACACTTGTAATATTTCCACACACATTTAGCAGTCTGCACAATATTATGCTATGTATATTAAATAGCCATAAAAGAAACTACACACCTGATGGCTGCCCACCATTCTGTCTATTCCTGATGGCACTTTATATGTATATTCAAGGAAAAAAAGGCACTTGGAATATATATCTTATGCTGAGGAAAGTCACTGAGGTGTAGCTACGGTATAAATGAGCAGCTCAGAAACGCTCACAGTACTGGATCCTCAGACCTACGTATAGCCTTGCAGACAGTTTATTACAGGTATGTGGCAATTCTCCAACTAAACTTCACTTTTGCATATCCTACTCTCATCATCTTTTTAGTTTCTCTCCCACATACTGAAACTAATAACATTATCATAATGGTTCAGCATGGCTCTAACCCACGGTATTTCCCCAGCTGCTGAAAAGCAAGGCAGAAGGTGGACAAGGCCAATTTATACTGTTCCTTCCACCTTATGTGGCATCACAAATAAGGCAGCCAAGACCAAGAACTGTGTAAGTCAACAGCTTCAACTTCTGAAATTTGGAAGATAGGACTTTAAGCCCGTTGTTGACAAGTGCCAGCTGTGCTAGAAACATACATAAACCAGAAAATGCTTCTCTTCTGCCATGTTTAATTTAACGTGAAGTACAACACTAATGTATATGCTACCCTGAAAGTGATGTTTATTGCAAAATCCGGACATCCCAGAGCTGTGCATATCACAGAGTACGTTATGGAGTTTTGCAGGAATGCTGCACTGATGTGTAAAAGGTTAAGGTTTCATGCAATTTACTGGAGAGCGGCTTTTCCCTGGAAACTTTTAGGGAAGCAGTTTTTAGCTGCTTTCAGCTGTTTATGTACCATGAGCACAGGAGCTGCCTTAAATCCAAGAAAGCATGCACAAAACTAGTGCAAGTGTACTGACACAAATACAAGATAACCTATTGCGTAAGTAGTTCTGCTACTAGCAAGTGACCTGGAATTAGCGTCAGTAAAACCTTTGTTCCACGTCAACACATCTCCTTTTCCATCATACCAGATACTTGATAAAGGGAAAGAAAGAACTGACCCCCAAACCCAGGAATGCCACAATACAGAGACAGTTCCAGAAATTTTTATCAATACATTGGGGTTTTTTGTGACCCTATACCTATAAATTACAGGGTTTGCTAGAGCAAGTTTTCAAGATTTTCAAGATATGAAGTAATTTAAGACGCCTACAAAACACTGCTGTGATTTAAGACTGATACTATAGCCTCTGAATATTACAAAAGCAGATGCATAACTTATAAAGGCAAGGTAACTCACTCTCCTTCCCTCTGTAGGTCTTATGACATCCAAATTCAAACCCTCACTAGTTCAGACTAAGCCCTGTTTGTCCAGCACCACATACCAGTGCAATTCCAGGGAAGCAGAAGCAGCAAAAACCAAGGGAAAATTCCTGGAACAAACCCGTCCTTCTGACACTGATTTGTGCCCGACAGGTACTTGACACTGAGAGCTTTGCCACGTTTTTGGCAATGTATCAAGAAACAAATGAGAGGGGAGAACACAGGAAAAGGGGTGTGTGGTAAGATTAGGTGGTGAGCTCTGACTCATCACATCACCACTAAGGATACTGCAGATGTAACAAATGTACTAATGAACACCAGAAGTAGTGCTTCTGGGAAGATACGCTGCCTCTGTTCTGGCTATTCCTTTTGTGAGTAGTCTTAAGATTTGCATAATAGCTACTGTGGCAGTAGTTAAAACCTGTGTTACTGCCCACTACTCGCTAGTGTAAAGATATACTTACCATACCACTTTTACAGGATGAAGCTTTAAAAACCAAATCCCAAATAATTGTCATGTTTTGTGAGCAGACCATTTCAGAAGATAAAGAAGTATTTTCTCATCTTAACTGTGGGGCATGGCTGGACATCTTATGGTAAACACCAGGAATAAGACTATACCGTTATTTTGCCGTAAGGTTCGCTTGCGTTGATGAGTGCCATCAGAAGAAACACTAACAACACGTCAACTCATTTTAGCTATCAAACACTGAACATACTCATGAAACAGCATAAAAGTCTATCACACATGCGTGCACATACATACAGACACACAGAGCTATTTTAAACAAAAACAAAATCCCAAGCACCAGTATTAAACCTGTAACAAAAGAAATTCAGGGCTGATTAAGGTGCAGACAGCTGTATTTTCAAGTCAATCTTAAACCAGATGTAGGAGAAAGATGGTCTTAACTGTGAGATTTAGACAACAGCAGCACAATTCTGGTTGAGACTATTAAGATTTCTATTATCAAATCAGAGATGACTTAAAAACTTAATAGTTCTGGTGCTAAATGGGTGCTGGAAAAAGCACCATTTAGCAGGGTGACTGCGGTTTGAATGCTGAGAGCTGCTGCACCTAAACCATTTGAGAAGCCCACCTGTAAATAAAAATAAAAGGTGAAACAAAAAACCCCACAGAATCTGCATGTGTGGCCTTTAAAGTAACAAAACCAACTGAAGTCCAAACTTAAAAAGAATTTGACATGCTGGTGGAAGAAAAGAAGGAATTAAACAAAAAAAAAATAAAGTTAGTGAATTAAAAAAAATAAATTGTAGCACCAATCTGTGCCAACACGGACATCTGGCAATCTGTGGAATTCTAATTACCTCTTTACGCCATAGGCCATATTAAGCAAATTGTCCAGCCTGAAAAGAGAAGGAGGGTCTTTGGGTTAATGTCTCACAGATGGCAAGATCGCTCAATGGAACTATTATTAATAGCGTTCCATTTTCAAAGAAGAAACGTTCAACAAGTTTCCCACACATCTAAGGAGCCTAACAACTCCCGGCCTGCTTTGTTAAGTCTGAGGTTGTGCTTAAATCTCCACCACAGCATTTATTTTTAACTTGTCTATGCTTTTTGTGAAAAATCTTCATTTCCAGGGTTTGGTTTTAAAAAAATCCACTTCTGATGTATCCTTTTTGGACAGTGTCAGTATGAAATCTGGGCAAACAGTTCAACTGTTCAGCTTGCAGTTAACTTGGGAATAAAATGTTACAGTCCAAAATTGCTGGAATTGGGAAAATTCTTGATTCTAACTGCTTTAACGTAATACTCTCCACACTATATTACATGTATTTAGTATTAATCCTCCATGATATGTCAATCTAAACGACCACCAAATTTTATACAGAATATAATCATCTGCTTTCTGTGAGAGTACAATAAGGACCTTCTGTCCATGGAAGGATTCAGTGACAATCTCAATGGACACAGCTGCGTGCCAAAGACAAAAACGAGTGTAAATTTAATGCATCTGAAGACTTTTTTAATGATCTTGAATTCATTAGCACTTTTCATCACTGAAAACCTAAATTTACTTTAGAAAAACCCTCTAAAGCCAGGATGCAACTCAGTTCTGTGAGTACATCCAAGTTTCTTTTTTGAAGGCAGACCTTTTATTTGAATGCTAGGTTGCCTGAAAATTACTAAATATAAAAGTAATGAGGACATCATGTATTGCTAACTCTGGCTTATGTATCAGATGGAAACAGTATATTCAGAATGCAAAGCATTAAACATCCCCGAAAGCATCTGAAGACTCACACCAAAGACTAATGCAAGGTCTCTGTACTAAAAGCAGATATCTCAGGCTAATAAATTTAATGATACTGCTGCTGACTGGAACAGACTCAGCTTTTTTCCTGCTACCAATCCACTGCCATTAACATCAAAGTCTAAGCTGCATCAAAACTGTAATAATACAGCAGAAAATAAAAGCATTACCAAAAAAAAAAAAGAAGAGAGAACAGGGTAGTTGCTGCTCACTTGATTACCAGTGTAACTCTTATTCTGTCCTCCCTTTTTCTATGAGCCTTCATGAGATCTGATTGTACAGTACTTCAGCTGTTTTAGTAAATACAACATGACTACTGCTGTCAGCAGATTTTCCTCCTCATTCTCCAGGAAAGAATATTTAATTTTACAAAGAAAATCAGGTCAGCCTACGCAACTAAAGTGTATTTTCCTGCATAGCACCTGCCCCACATTGTCATCGCTGGTGGAACTTCAGTTCTTTTCCAGGTAATTACCTGAATCTCTGAGCCTGGTGGTGAAGTGGTCCAGGGTAGCGTCTGTTGGGAGACTGATACAGCTGTGAAAGGAGTGCCTGGCTTGTTTTCTGGCTGGGGTTATTGGCAAACTTCACAGTAATTGGTTCTGTAGCACCACTAGGCTTCTGGCCATTTAGTCCCTTTATGGCTTCTTCTGCCTCTATTCTCTTATCAAAACGGATAAATCCCACACCTCGAGAAACCCCTGGGAAGTAAAGACATGTGAACAGATGAATATTTGTAGGAACAGCCTTATCTATGTAATGAACATGAACTGAATATTTGTTGTCACTGCACAGAATGCATGGCTTGCAAATTAAGGGAAGTCCTATAAAGACACTCTTCCCCATCTGTATTCTCCAAAATCAGCCCCTACCATATTTAATATAACGCTTTGAAGAAACCATTTTGCATTTTGAGATCCCTCATTAAAGAGCTAGTAGTTATGCCTCCAAACAGTTACAACACTCAAAGAACCAGGTACTGCATTTTACATTAAACATCACATTGCCTTGAAACCCAACTGCCAACAACTTCACCATATGCAGAAAAACATGCATCTATCAAGGAAAGTTTTCTTTTAACCTGTGACTTGATCAACCAGAATCCGTGAGGTGATGATGCGCCCATATTGTGAGAATAACTGCTCTAATTCTTTCTGGGTCATTGTTTTCGGAAGGCCGCTGACATACAAATTCGCATCTCTGATTGATGCTGAACTCGGACGGGCATATGACACCTATGAAGGAAAGGAAAGACATGTTAGTAAGCTAGAGCCACCCCTTGCATTTTAAATGAACAGATTATTTTCTGTTCTTTCACAGGCAAAACCCCTTGAGTTCAGGTGTTACCTGTTGTGCAAAATCAACAAAGCCAGAAAAGGCTGGAAGAGCAAAGAACTAAAGAGACTAAGAACAGACGAAAGGGCTCTTCAAGTGCAGTCATAAAGTAACTATTGTTCAGAGGTAGATTAACATGCAGCTTCCTACGCATGGCTTTGTAAATTTACCCCTATAGATTGTGGGTGTATGGATGATTTACTGTATCTAACATAGCACTCCGAAGTTCCAGCATGTTTTTCTACCCAGCCCCCCCTGAAGACTCTGAAACAGATCAGGTTATTTGTGGAGTGATCTTTTGTGCTATTTCTCTTTGTGTTTTCATACTGAGCTGGCAAGATCTGTTCTGGATGAACAGTAAAGTACTGGTGAAATTAGACTAAATAAACATCTGCTCAGGGAAGTGTGTACTGACACTCACTGTCTATCTGCAATCCATCACAAGAAGTTCCCTTGCACTGTGAGCCCACAACCAGACCACAATATATTATGACCAAGCAAACAAGAAAATGTTGAGTTTCAACTGCATGTATGCTGTTGGAAAATTATTAAATCAAAACTCTCTCAACTGTTCTTCTATCTATGAATCAGATTTATAATTATGTGCATAAAAAGCCTTCTGCACTTTTAAAATATATACATTTAGAATACACACATTTAACATAATAAAAATACTTCCCGGATAAAGACTTAATGGCAAGTATTCAGCGTGGATCGTGAAGAACTGCTTTGCAGCACATCAGAAATAGCATTGGATCCAAACTTGAATATTTTGCACTTCATCTTGACTTATTTAAATATCAACAGATCAGTACATTCCTGTGTTACGTCTTAAAATGTGCCTTGGAAGGAAATGGAGGGGTCCCCGTCATGAATACAATACATTCAGCAATTGTCTTCCCCTTTTCCCGAGCCCTAGCCCAAACACAAATGATGTCAAATGGATGTCTTTGTGTGTTTTGTGTGTCAAAGAGCTGTCTTTATGTGCTCCACACCTAAAAATAGATGCTGACTCAACACAGAAAGTGATGTTAATGACTAATATTTGCTTCCACAATCTTCTCTGAATAACAGCAGACAGACTCCAAAGATTTTAGATTTGAAGGTTTTGGGCAACTTCTTTATAACTTACATGCTGGTACATAACCTTTTAAATCTAACATTCACATTTAGAGAGAAGGTGGAAAAAAATTAGGGAAAGATATGTGAAAAAGAGGTTAAATATGAAAATTTGCATCAACTGAGGTAAGCTCAGGCACTCGGAAATACAGACTTTCTGACCAGAGAAACCTTCAGGTGCTGAGGTCAGTGCTGAAAGGGATGAATACTGGAGTGGAAACTGTTTAGTGCCTCAGCGATTCAGGACCTCACAGCCCATGAGCTCCTGATGGGGTGCAGCATTTAAGTCACTTAATTGCTGGTCCCAAACACCCCAGGTACTGCGGGACCAGAATACACATGGCACTGCCTGGCTTTTACGTAACTAAGATCAAGGTGCCTGGGGAAAAGAGGGATAACTGCACTGTACTCTTCCTTAAAATCACTGTTTCTGACTGTGCTTGATTGGGTGGTCTCATGTCAGTGGCTTCTCACTTATGCCCTGTGCTGGGGCACTTGGAAAAGCAGACTCTTTCCCACTCTGCAAATGTCTTACCTTGAGAGGGTACTCAAAGGGTTCAGACATCTACAGTTTAACCTACTTCAGGAATAACAGTTTAAAAAACACTTAAGAGCCTCTCTGGAGTTATTGAGAGTTATAGAGACCTTACCTATTCCTCAAAACAGAGAGCTGCAAAATTAATAAAGTTCCTGGGAAAACAGCCAGGGGTTTCCTTTGGGTTTTCTCACTGTGGCACATTCATTAACCAAACGCCACATTACAGGAAAGATGAAAAGTATTGGGATATGCAAAAAACACTGTTTCCCAGAGCACTGAGTGCCTGACATTTTATATAGATACTTCTACATGCAGAAAATGCTCTGTTCTTGTGGGCCCTGCAGACACACAGAGAAAGGGGAGACTCCACACACTCAAATCACATGTAAACACCTACCGCTGCTCAGGTCTACTTTTTATTTCCTCCTGCAATCAAACATTCAGGTTGCAGGGGAGCCTGGGCCAAAGAAAGAAGAGGCCAAAAGCAACGTCTTTAAAAGCAAGGAGAAAAGGTTGTGAGCTGAATGGACTCAAAGCTAGCAATGTAAATTATTTATCTGCTTTTGAATCTTTTTCATGTTCCCTCTCAGGTCAGCCAATGACAAATCAATCAGTTAGGCTGTGCCATCCTGCTTTCAAGCCATTATTCAGTTAGTTCTGAGGACGGGATGTCTTCCCACATATTAGCTATCAAAGGAAGAAATCACCCACCCTGGGCCTCCACTAGACCAGAAACAACTTGTGCTGTGAAAGTTAAAATGGGAGACAAAACCAGCTCCCATTTTAGCCCTGAAAACTACAAAGCGCTGGGTGAGGATGCTGCATTAATTCTTTATATTCACACTTAAGAACGATTCTTTTGCTCATGGCAGTGTTAGTGCCCTATAATGAAAGTGTGCTGAAAAAGGGAAGCATGTAGAAATGCCAGCCACCACAAAGGAATTCAAATAAACGAGCTGGAGAACACCAAACTACTGTCTGACCCAGGCATTTCTCAGCATTAAAATGTTTGTCTGCCTGTATGACAGTTGGAGGTCGAACGGAGTTATTTTGCTGTGTAAGATCACTTAGGAGTTCTTCCGTCCAATTTGCAAGGAAGATAATAAAATACTGTACTATTTATTTTATGGCTTGCTGGCCTCTGATGTTAGTTTCTATACATTTATATATTAACTGTGAAAATCCTTCGCTAGGATATTTCTCATCTGACAATGAACTGTGTAAGGGCTTCTGTTCAGTGTAAACAGCCATCTCAAGAGTCTGCACCGCTGTCTCCAAACACTAATGCAGAGTCATAAGGTCCAGCATTTCATATCTTCCATGGTAATGCACAGATCTGTTCAGGAGCACAGAAAATATCTCCAAGTTAAAGTAATTATCTTCCTTATTGATTTCCTACCCATTTTGCCATATACACAACTCTCTGAAAAATTTCTACACTCGAGACTCTGCAAAAGGTAAATTGAAGCAGCCTGGTCTTTCCAACTCAGAGCCCACAGCAAAGGCACCCACAGGCATGAACGCATCCCATTTGTCTTACAGACGCAAGGCGCTGGACGTGTAACAGCAACCATTTAAACACTGACACTTAACCACTTCACTGCTGCTCACAGAATCATAGAATAGTTAGAGTTGGAAAGGACCTTAAGATCATCTAGTTCGAGCCCCCCTGCTCATCCTAAGAGATGCTTTCAAATCATACGCTAATCCTGGACTTTTCAAATATTAAGACCATTTCTAGAAGCCTTATCCCAAAATTCAACTCCAAATCTGCTCCAAAGAGGAACAGCATCATCCCTCCCTGAAGGATGTGCTCTGCCAGCAGAGCTACCCTGTCCTGGTCTAAACATCTGCTGACAAACCTAGCAACTTATGTCTTCTCCCAAGGACATGTACATCTTGCTCTGCAAATACCATTACTCATCTGGTGAACCTCAGACTAGCCATGAGCCTAGTTCTAGTTCTCCACAGCAGCACAGGCATCCACAGGCCACCAAACCACCTACCGATGGTACCTGCAATCCCTGGGACATCTCTCCAGCCACGAGCAGATATGGTGCAGTCGGTGCTGTGTGACCTGGGCAGCTTTCAAAAGAGTTTGTCTAACATTCAAAACCTCTGAACTTCTCGATGACCTCAATTCTAGAAGACTTTGCTTTATCTCTCTGCATGACACACTCTCAGATGTAGGATGGCTTTTGGGGTGAGTCACTTTGCTTTTTTCCTGCCTAAGGTCCAAACGTGTAAAATGGGGACAACCCTTCCTTCACTTGCTGCCTGTTATTCCACTGGTATGCACTGGAAGTGCTTTAACACAACTGCTCCAAGAGCTTCACACGTGTAAATAAGCACAATCTTAGCTGTTTCACACACATATAGAACTAGAAGTAAAATCTGTTTAACACCAAAGGATGGGCTGTGGCTAGAAGAGATGCTTCCCACAGCCATTTCCAGGCCCTCGTCCATGCCCTACTTTTGTGCAAGAACAGAGATTTAAGCAAGCCTCCTGTGCTTTGTCAGAAAAAGCGCACACAAAGGCTCTCTGGTCCAGAGTCTGAGGACCAGAGTCTGGAATATCTTCACTGCTTTGTCCTTTCTTTCTTCAAGCCCTTGGCTGGGGGATAGAGGGGAGTGATGATGCACTTTACTGTTGAGCAATTCAATCCCATTTTATTGGGATTAATTATGATTGCAGGTACGATACAATAGTCTATCCCATCTTTTCATGAAAGAATCCACAGATAACCTAGAAGCACTCTGGCTGTATCAAGAGCAGGACTAAGAGAAATAATTGCTTTGGCTCTGTGGAATGAAAAGGAGTTATTGACAAAACTGAAGCAGTTAAATCTCGATTAAGAGAAGATGCACAGAACTAGCAGATTAAGATTCTGGTGCCTGCTGAAAGCAACAGAGCCAAATCTGAACCTTCAAATGCAGCTGAGAGGTCCTTTGAACTGCAGCATCACTACAGGCACTAAGGGTGGAAGAGGATTTGTTAACAAGCACTACAAAGATCCGAAAGGTTACACAGACAGAGGCTCCTGAAAAGCAAAACCAAAGTAAACTTAGTTGAGGCTTTCCAGGTCTGTGCCAGGTACAGCAATCACAGCTAATGACCCCTCCTTGACTAACTCTGAGCTACCACAAAACAGAACAAGCAATTACCTTAATTTTAAGAGGAACTATAGAGCAACTATATTCTAAATGTGCAGCTTGCAAATGGCTGCAATTTGAATTTCTGGG